GAGGGTGGAGGAGATGGAGAGGAGAGAGTACGAGGAGGAGGTGCTGAGGGTGGCGATGGTGGGCCATGTCAGGGCTCCGGTCGCCGTGGGGGCCAGGACAGCGCCTGTGTTGGAGAGTGAAGTTTGCGATTATGATCCTTCACTTTTGTGATGATAGTGTTTGGAATTTGATTGATTTTGTTGGCAAGTGTTTGAGGATGTTTTTTTTTTGCCGTCCGCAGTTGAGAATATTGGTGCTATTTATTGCAAGGTTAATAATGTCTGGAAATTTGGTATAATTTAAATGCGCTAGCTGTTCATCGATCTTTAGTCCTTTTGATATGGAGCTATATATACTTATATGAGTATTGTTATAGGGATCCAAAATATGGGACCAACAGGGGGATAGTTGAGATGTCCTACTCCTATTGCGTAATGAGGTGGCCTGGCCAGCTCATTATGCAATAGGAGGGACACACTTCACATCTCCCCCTGTTGGTCCCATATTTTGGGTCATTGGGGAATTTTTCATACTTACATACTAAGCGATCGTAATTTTTTATTGTCGTCAATCCTTCTGATGCTAAACTAGTCATATAACATAAATGCACTGCTTATTTTTAATCCTTCTGATGTAGAACTATGCTTACAAATAAGACTGTAATCACATACCAACGAACTCTTTATTCATCACTTATCAATAAAAATACATGCACCCCATGGTCTTAGGTTCGATTCCGGACTGTGTTATAGAAAAGAAAAAAGGGAAGGAAAAAAAAAATGCACTGCAATGCCTCACTTCATCTCAACAAGCAAACCCCAAACCCCAAAGAGAAAAACAATAAGCTATTAACGAATAGAAAACCAAAAAGTGCAAAACAAAACATAAACCCTGAACTACTCCTCGGAACAATCTTTTCAACCTTCCCTTCCACTGAACAAGAAATCCTACTGCGTATTGCAGGCATCACCAGCTCCATATAATCACAACCCTGCCCTCTAACAATCTCCTCCTCCACGATCTCCAAAACCCCTTCAACTCCTATTTTCTTCGCGATTTCGACCGTGACATCGATCAAAGTCGAACAATCGTCGGCCTCCAACTCTCGACTTCTCGCCCACAAGGACTTGAACGTGCAATCGTCGTCGTCGAGCCATTCGACAACGTCGAGATCGTCCGTAACTTCCGAGAATTCGTTGAGGGTGAGGGTTGGTTCGATTATTTCATCATCTTCCGCCATCTGATTGGTTTGAAAAAAATAAATAAAAACTTGCAGATTGAAGTTGATGTTTGATCATTTTATATAGAACTGGGTACTCAGAATAGACGAAGGATTTGTAGGACTGTATCCTATTAGGAACAGAATAGACGTGGCTTAAGTTTAAAGGGTTATTATAAAATCCTCTTTGACTTAGGTTTTTTTTTTAAATTATATATACCCTTTAAACCATGGATATTTGCTAAACTATCCTCAATCTTAACATTCGTAAACTACCGTTTAAATCAGCAGTTTTGGAAGGAAAAAAAAAAGGAAATCCCTGAATCAATCAATCAGCATCCCTAGTAGGCCAATTTGTAACTACAATGCAAATATTATCAACAAGTGGGGCTGTTTGGTTCGTTTCCTAGATATAAGGAAATGCATTAATTTCCATATACAAAAACACAAGTTTTGAGTTTTTCAAACCTTTCAAAGAAATAGATTGTTTCGCTTTGGTTCGCACAAAAAAAAAATGATGGGAAACCAATGTATTTATTTTTCTTGTGTTTGATTCGCATGGGAAAAAAGGAAAAACTTTTGTTTATATGGCAAAAAGCTGACGTGGCTGCAGTTTTCGTCGATTTCACGAGGTTGAGGAAGGAATTGGGGAAGAGAAAAAAATCTGATGCGGCGGCGATTTTCAGCGAGTTTCCCTTCTTCAACCCTAGCGAACCAAAGATGAGAAAAGAAACCGACGGAAAGCTTATATCCTACGTGGTCACGAAAAATCTGATGTGGAGGCGGTGTAAAACTTTTCCACCGAGTTAAAAAACGAACCAAACAACCCCAAAACAAACAAATTTTTACCCGTCAGGCTGATGATTTGTCGACTTCAGTGATATTTCTTTCCAAAGTTGATGATCTGAAGGGTAGTTTTACAAATACTGATATTTTGAGAATAGTTTTTTCAAATAACACTAGGACACGGAAACACCCTCAATCATGACCACTGTTTTTAACAACGGAGAGTACAAAACGGACCTTAAGCCGCATGGGCCTCCAGTAGATGCCTATAAGGTTTTAACAACGGGCCCACGTCTAATGGGCCGGGTCTGACTAAAGCTCCAGAAAGTCAGCTTACGCTCTACGCATCGTGCCCTTTATATTATTTTATCATCAAAATCCGAAAGGAATAAAATTGAAAAAAGTAAAACCCTTTTAATTTTTGGGGCCGAGACTTTATTGCCGACTACGAGGGGGAGGGGGAGCGAGAGAGAGAGAGAGAGAGAGAGAGAGAGAAGGTAGAAGACGATAATGTCAGGAATCGCTCGTGGAAGACTCGCAGAAGAGAGGAAAGCTTGGCGCAAGAATCATCCTCATGTTCGTAATCCTCCTCTCTCTCCTCTTTCGATCGTTATTTTTCTCGATTTTTTTTTTCTGAATTTTTTTTGGCGATTCCTAGGGTTTTGTGGCGAAGCCCGAGACTTTGCCCGACGGATCGGTGAATCTCATGGTCTGGCACTGTACGATCCCCGGGAAGCAAGGGGTACGATTGGTCCTCGACGCTATCGTGTTCGGTTTTCTGTCAATTTTTCTTTTTTTTTCATTGACCATGCGTTAACCCTAACGCTAGAAATTCCTAAACTTTTAATTTATTTCGGTTATACGAAAGGCTAGAGGGTATCTCAATTGAAGGATTCCTTGCGAAATCTTAACAATAGTTGTAAGTAACACAATGTTGAGCTAGTGGAGATTTGAATATGTGATGGGGGGCATAGTTTCATGATATCGAAGTTTTCCCCTTGTCTAGTTACCTGTTTGTTCGTTATGTATGCTATCATATCGAAGGCGCAGCAGCCGCAAATTTAATCCTTACTGGTGTTTTCAAGTGTCGGATGGACATGGGCATTTACCCTCTTTGATTTTGGACTGGTCTGTGTTTCTGCGGAATTTAGTCTTGTTTACCCGAAATTATGACCAACAGGCCACCTGTCAGCCTCATCCGGTTGGTAGCGGAGCTGCTACTACCTACCGTCCTTTGCTGTTCTTTTCATGTATGGTTGTCCGGTTCAATGAATCGATCCTTCCAGAAGCGACTTGTTCTGTTTTTATGTTGCAACTTGCTGCAGCCATTCCGCTTTCCCAGATAATAGACATCCGTGGTTCTTTTTTTTATTCGTTATAAACCTGTTATACCTGCAAATATAGTTAGCACTTGTAAACCGTCCTTGGACTGCGTCTTTTGGAAGAACATGGTTTCATGGCCTCGAGTGACAACATCATGATCATAGTTAGTAGTGTGTTCCTTTTTATTTCGACCCCTGTTTAACTGTATAGCATTGGTTGACCTAGCGAAACATCTCTCCCCTTATGGTGGAAAAACTGCTGCCTTCGACAGAACATGTTAGCTGTCCTCCTTATTTCCATCTAAATACCTCTCTTTTACAATTTTGTTGTTACAAAATTTGTAAGATCAATACATGAAGTCACATGATCATGAAGACACTGTAAGAGAGCATGTAAAGGTTACAATCGTACAAATATGTGTATATTTTAAGGGTTAGAGGACTTTAGAAGAAGCTGGTGAGCTAAACTAGTTGCTTGGAATACAGAATAACTTATTGTTGACATGGGGTTAGTGGATACAAAGTCAAAAGAAAAATTATTATAACATGTTTGCAAAAAGACAAATGTATAAGTAAAAGACTTTGGAATCTTCTAAAAAGAAAATGTTAGCATGTAAAGGTTGGAGTCAGAAAGATGCTAGAGCTAGTCCCTAGAGATGAGGTTATTCTTACCATTACTGTTTATGTCTTTAGTTTCCAGGAAATTTGAAAGAGAGTTTATATGTGAATGGATTGGTACAAGTTTGTGTGATATCAGTAACTTCGCTCAAATACATAAATATCAGTATCTTCTCTATGTAGATATATCTATTGATACTTTTCTGTTAGGGAGATGGACTAGCATGCAAAGATTGTAATGGTTTGCCAGCAAAGATCAGCCATAGATATAGATAGTTGCCAGTCAGCATTTGCATAACCGAATAACTACGATGGATAAGACACCAAGAGCCCGATGGTCAACCGTGAAACTTCTTTTGGCTTCTTTGACAAAGCTTTGGTTCTATATGAGTCATTTTTAGTGGATGGTTTACACTTGGAACGTGATATTTAGCGCATATGACTCAATCCGACCTAGTCTTGAAATCGATATTAATGAAGGCTTCCCAAGTTGCTGCATATTTCCTTCCTGTCTAATTTTGTTTTAGATGTAAATTTTATTTGATTATGGAAGATGATACATTGGTTGAGTCAGGTAATGCGGCTTAAAAAGCTGGACTTGAGATCCGACCTGTTTATTCTACGGGTTGACAGTCTTTGATCATTAAACCTCCCTTGGCATGATGACCTTAGGTTGCTCTTAACCAACCAAATTTCAGATCAGCTCGAGCTCAAATTTGGTTAGGTTGGCAGTCTAGTTAAATTATCATCTATCATGTGTTCAAAGCAGAATGTAAGTGTGCTCTCATGTGGAAGTCTCTGACAGTCAGCTTAATTTGCAATTATACTCACAAACAGGATATTGGCTTGAGCCCTAACAATATTGGGCTACCAATTATGGTTCTCTTTGATGGAATCATATGTGGGGTCCCGAAACATTTCTGGAAACTCATTTATTTGCTATGTAAAATGTCGTTAACAATTATATCAAACATCATGTTCATGGGGGGATTCAAATTGAAAAAGGTTACTATCTGGAGTTTGTAGCCAAAAAATCCATAACCGCTGGCAAGTTTCATATGAATTTCTTCTCCAGAATTAAAAGTTGAAATAGTTGTTTGACATGAAAGTTGTTGAATTCCAGCTGCGTTAGTGAATTGGTGACTGCAGTATTGTTTAGATGGGTCTATTCTCACCTGTGATTCACCATCTTAGTGCTTAGATCATGTTCAAATCAAGTCTAGATGAGGGTCCGAATTAGGCTAGGGTTCAGGACAGATCAATTGGGTAACAGATCCCTACTAACAGGTGAAGGCTTCCGAGCCAAGGTCCAAACGAAGCTTGAAAATCCATTTCGACTTCCAGTGCCAGGTTTGGTGGTTTCAGCCAAACCCAGGCTATAGGTCAACTTTGTAGCCTCCTCCCTCGAGGGGAATCCCTTTTTCACTTTAGAGGTAAAGTGATGCTGTCCAGTTTGGTTCACGAGTTTGTTTGAAGTAGAAGACGACATGGCTGTTTTAACATATATCGCTGACATGGCTGTTTAAGCCACATTCATAAATTGGAATTACATATTATTTAAGTGGTTCCAGTCCTGTGTGTAGTTCACTTTCTAAGTGTTTAAGCATGACTAATGCAAGGATCTGCCATCAGTAATACACAATGTAAGGAAGTAAACCAATAGTCATGTTAAGTTTAAGCCTGGATTTATCAGTCAAGTAAGCACACATGAGCTTGCAGCTTAGTACTCCACATTGAACCGAAAAAACTTGGGTTTGTAGATTTGCAAGCCTGCCCAAAACCTAGCAACCTTTCTGCTATGACAATACTGAAGCTAGGTTATAGCTAATTGTCTTCAAATAGTTAAGAGTTAGTTGGATACAACTATACGAGCTTCTGAGCATTTTTGGAAGTTCAGATGGTGTTTAGGAAAATAGGAAGAGAGTTTGATAATAATAGAATAGCTTTTTTTTGTAGAATTGTCCTTTGAAGTGTTTTAAGGTCTTTTTGTTACCTACTCCGTAAAGAAAGTTGTGGATTGTTTTGGGTGGAAATGGGACCTATATGGGATGTCATCTCACCTAACTTTATGTGATGGAATGGTTAATAAATGTTGAATTTATTCTTTTCTCGATGATCCCAAATGTTAATCTTAATCGCATCCCTTAAGATGCAAACTTTAAAGATATCTAACTCGTTCTTTAAATAGTCACATGCTTGAAAATTGTTCATTTACGACCATTTCATTGTTAAATTTTGTAAATTTCATACTTTATTGTATAGTCAAGTTTTAGGGCAATAGATAGTAATATAAACAAGTTGGATATTCTTTTAAAAAAAATTGGTTTTTACATCAAAACCACCTTAACTTTTACTCAAGTTGATGAATACCACCTTTACTTTTTTTGATGAATATCACATTTACTTGCTTATACCCTTTCATTGTCAAACCAATTTATGTTTTCAGCCTAAAAACTCTGTGACTTGACTGAAATACCCTCCAACCCCTCGTGTAAAACACGTGTACCCTATTAACTCACCCCATTAACTCTGTTTAACTTTTGGCCCCCACCTTAAAACCAACAATGGAACCCCACCTCCGCCACCTTCGCACTAAATTCTCGCCCAAAAAAAAAAACATTAACTGTTTGAGCGCGCTCTTTATCCCCCATCTAGTACCCGTCATTTTTAAGGGGAAAAACTCAAAATTCTCTCGATTTAGGTGTGGGATCTGATTATCTTTCTTGTACGGAGGTTGGGCTCTGACATCGTAGTCTGGAAAAGAGTTTTCTTGTTGGATGGTTGACTGTGATGGGTTAGAGTCTTCAAGTGAAGGTAATGTAATGTTAACTTTTCCAATTGCATGTGGTTTGGTTGGGCGTGAGAACTTGAATTAGGTTTTTGGTAGATTGTAGTTGTGTAATTTGATTTTTACCCGTGCATTTTAGGGTTAGGGTTGATTAGGGCTTTGGCAAATGAACAAGAAATGAGTTAAATTGGACAAGTTGGTTGCTTATATTGTTGTGTAAAATGAAAATAATTGTTTAATTTATGTTTATATGTTGAGTAATTATTGGCAAATTAGCCATTGTGTTGATCTGCGACATGTAAAAAATTTGATTGTTATGATTAACTTAATTGTGCTTTGTGATGCTTAATTACTTGTGAAATTTGTCGTAATTGTGTAATTTGAGTTAAATAGCGTCACATTTACTAAATGGCGGTATTTAAATGCAAAGTTTGTCAAAGTATAGGTTAATGATTTTCTATTTAGTTTATTGAAGTGGTATTTCAATTTATACATTGATTAACCTAAGATAAGCAAACAGGGGTATTTAATGTACTTTCTTTTTTAATTTCAGGATGTATGAATTTATGGCCGTAGAGTATCATATTGGGGGAAAGTTTGAAAAGAATAGGGGATCATTGAAGTATGTGGGTGGTAAAGTTTTTACTAAACATAATCACATTGTTGAAGTATATGGCCTCCCAACAATCTCACCATCATACCACATTAAAAAATTACATCTTTTATCACAAATTGAAGGACTTGAGAAATGACAACTGAAAAACCTTCTCCTGGGTTAGCTTCAACCTTTGAAGTTAGCATTGAAGCTCTCAATTTGCATTTGCATAAAACGTCCATAGATCTTCCATGAGAATATGAAGAAGAACCTGTTGAATATTCAGTAGTCATTGATAACTGAAACAATATCACTCAAAACACTAGGGAAATGTAAGAAAGAATGAAGATGGGGTTTATGGAAGAAGAAGAACTGGAGAGGGGTTCAGCGGACAAAGATCTAGAGTTTTGGTTGTGGGCAAGGTTTAATGTTGGAAGATTGAGTTAATGGAAGAAGAAGAAGAGGGCATGTGAGATTCATGTGCTTTCTTTTACCTAGGTTAGGTTGGGTGAGTTAATAAGGTCGGGTGAGTTAATAGGGTACACGTGTTTTACACGTGAGGGGTTGGAGGGTATTTCAGTCAGATCTCAGAGTTTTTAGGCTGAAAATAGAAATTGGTGTGACATTGAAAGGATGTAAGCAAGTAAAGGTGGTATTCATCAAAAAAAAAAAAAATGAAGTAAATGTGGTATTCATCAATTTGGGTAAAAGTTAAGATGGTTTTGATGTAAAACCCTAAAAAATATATTTGTCATCATCATTCATGGTGTAGTTTCCGACATGCTGTTAAGTGTACACTTGCAAGTTACTGTATCACTCCTGGGTTCTCAATTAGGATCGCTGTTGCATGATATCTTTAATTTATTTGAGAGTTCACTACTCTATACATGTGGAGCTTACATAGGTGTTCATTCGATTTGGATTGAGCTGTTCACTCACAGTTCAACTCTTTCTTTTAAAGACAACACCCTCAGTCAACAAGAAACCTCCATCCTTTTGCACCCTTAATTCAAGTTTACTGTTGATTGGCCATTCTCCCACAAGCACCTTAATCCTATTACTCCTAACCGGTGCACTTGTCTTTGTATACATCCAAGCACTACGAGAAGATTTTCATTTATTAGTTTCCGATATTAAACTCATTGGTTAATATATTCAATTTTTCTGAAATGATGGGTGAAGATTGGTGAAGGGAGTAAACAATTTTCTCATGGCGGTTACTGTATAGGTTAAATTGATGAAAATGTTTGCAGCTTTGATCAAAGTTATAAATTCTTTTTGCTTTTGAATTACTCTTCCTGTGAAATTGAGGTTTTTGGTTTTACATTGATTTAACCTTTTAGCTGTAAGAACTTATCGTGTTCCGTTTACTTCTACCATTTCCTTGCAAATATCAAGTGGATTTTTATTCATGTCAAAATGAAAATGGATCTTATATTTGATCTCCAGACTGATTGGGAAGGCGGTTATTTCCCCCTTACTCTTCACTTCAGCGAGGATTACCCGAGCAAACCACCCAAGTGCAAATTCCCTCAAGGCTTCTTCCACCCAAATGTCTACCCTTCTGGAACAGTATGCCTGTCAATTCTTAATGAGGACAGCGTAAGAAGGAATACAATTAATTGTCTAGTGTAAGACACTTACAAAGTCGCCGCTTTAATATAATCTCTTGATGAATTTCTACAATTACATATTACAGGGATGGAGACCAGCTATTACTGTGAAGCAGATTCTTGTGGGGATTCAAGACCTGCTCGATCAGCCAAATCCTGCTGATCCTGCCCAGACTGACGGTTACCACCTCTTCATTCAGGTTTGTTCCTTCTTTTCTTTTCTTTTTTCCTTTTGGGTGGGGTTTTTTTTGGGGGGTGGGGCGGTTGCTTCATCCGTCCGTTTTGTGTACAATTAGGGGTTGGAGTTGGTAGCGCGTCCACAATTTCACATACTTCCTGTTCCTGTTGTTGGAACACATTTCCACTTGAATGCATTAGTGACTTTGCATATTTTTAGGTTATTATAAGTACAGTTACACCCCTTTATTATGGGAGTATAGCCTCTTATACGACTTAAATTATTTTATTATCACATAACACCCCTGGTGTCATATCGTCCATTAGGTCAACGATATCATGGGGTGTGCAACCATTATGACTCCGGTACTATTTTATTAGCACTTACATCTCTTGAAATTCTGACGGTTAGGTTGAGATATCACGTGAGAATCACTGGATAATTACCTTTTGACCTCTTTTTAAATGAAAAAAAAGGAGTAAATTGCCCTGTAAATTGATTGAGGGGAAAAAAGAAGTAATTTATGGTCCTGTGATTTCCACGTCACATCTCAACATCGCAAAAGTTTAGGGAGTATAAGTCGCTACCCTAGGATTAATCCTTATTTTTTAAAACTTTTGCTTTTAAGTAAATGGATATATAGGAGTTTGGATGCAGTTGGCGACTTTCGACTTTTGTTACTAACCGCATACTCGTCTCTCTCGCTCATATCTATTTTCCAGGAACCAGCGGAATACAAGAGACGGGTGAGGCAACAGGCGAAGCAGTACCCCCCACTGGTTTGATTGCTTATTGCATGTTTTAATATTATCTGACGAAGCTGGCAACTTCCTTAAAAATACTAAAAAAAAACTTTTGGCTTGGCGTGTGCGTGTTATGTCATTCTCAATTGTGAATGCAGTGCATCTGATATATGTGACAGAAACTGAAGCTGCAACTGTTTCTATCTTAATAACTTCATCTTCTTGTTAACAGATACTTGTTTATATAGCGTGGAGTTTGGTGTTTGTCTCTATCTTTTGGTATTTGTTGCTTGCGTAGCGTCTTTGTTCTTGTCTCTCTTACGAGCAACAACGAATGCCTCGCAAATTTAAGCAACGTGTATCTGCTGAAAATTTTATAATGTCGGCGTTTTTTTATTTTGCTGATTCTCAACTTAAGAGCCGTATACCGAGGCAAGGCAACAACTGACAGAGAAAAGCGAGCTCGAACTGAACTGAACTGAACTGTGATTCTTAAATTGATGTCTTATTCGCTTCAGGTTCTCTCTCTCTGTTTTTTTTTTCTTTTGGAGCTAAGATTAGTTCAACTTTAACATGCAATAACAACGATTTATATCTTCCTTTTTCCTATACTTGACAGTTCTCGTAAATTCACAGCCAATGTCGTGCATCTACCGTCAAATTTTGCAACATCAGCAATTTACCAAATTTTTTTAGGGGCTGTTTGGTTCGCTATTATAAGGGGTAGAAAACTTAGAAAACCCCTCCACGTCAGATTTTTAGCTCTCCACGTCAGTTTTTTTGTTTCCGTCCATTTTTTTGTGCTGCTTTGGTTCGCTCGGATGGAAGAGAGAAAACTCTACTGAAATCGCCGCAAACTAAGATTTTTTTCCCTCTCCGATTTTCTTCCCCAACCAAGTGAAATTGATAAAAACTCTGTCACGTCAGATTTTTTTCCTTCTCTGCTTTGTTTACAAAAGTTTTTCTTTTTTTTCTATGCGAACCAAACACAAGAAAAATAAATACATTGGTTTCCCACCATTTTTTATGTGCGAACCAAAGCAAAACAATCTATTTCTTGGAAAAGTTTGGAAAACTTAAAACTTGTGTTTCTTTACATGAAATTGCATTTCTCTATATCAAGGAAACGAACCAAACAACCCCTTAAAAAAAATAGAATAAACGTAATTTCAACTGAATAACACACTTGTCCGCTTATTACTGCCTCCGTCATCATCAGTTGAACGATCAATACCGAGTTCCTCGTCGTCCACGAACTAATCAAATCACGGAACCCAGCTGTCGACTACGAGCAAGCGTTACCACGTGATACGCGGATTCCCCTAAAATTTTTTTTTACCTAAAAAAACGAAACACAACGAGTCGGCATCCGAACGCGGAAACTTTTTCCAAAGAGACCCCCACAACAAATAGAAGTGCTCTGAAACCCCCACAAAATTACGTATTGAGACGGTATTAGAGTTAAATCGTTTCTCCTCTCGAGGAAGAAAAATTTTATGTGGGCCACAAATTAGCCTCTCACATTTGCAAGAGTAAAAGTACGATATTTACGAACAAAAAAAATACACGGGAACCACCAAAGAAGTAGAACGTGGCTACTTTTGACATCGCAGCTTTATATTATAAAGGCCACCAAGGGATTTAGAGGGCTTTTCGCTACTTTGACATTTTAATATTAGCTGTGATTTGGAAAGACTTTAGAGAGTCGGCAAGAGCAAATCTCCAACATCTCCAAAATTTTTTCCAAAATAAGTAAGCAAAAGTCATATTTTCTAAATTATTTTTACACCAACTCCAACAGCTTTCTAATTTTGAAGAATCTTTTTTTTTCTTCCAAAAATTTGGAGAATGCTGCAGATTTGGGGAAGCTTCCCTATTTTTTCTCATACATTCCTATTTTGGGGAATGAGATGGAGAATCTGTTGGACCAAAAACCTAACTAAATTCTTCAAAAATGAGAAATGGAGAAGCTGTTGGAGATGTTCTAATGCTAAATAATATTCTAATACTTCTATCCACGCTTGGGAGTTGATATCTTAACATTTCTCTCTTTTTGTTCGTGTTGAATTTGAGCTTGTCCACCTATGATTTCACGTCCACTGGGGGGGATGAATATTGTTATATATTCAGGTTATGAATATTTATAGTCTCCAATTTGTTGTGTACTTGTATTTTGGAGAGGGAGTCAAAACATAAATTTCGAACTTAGATAAGGTTAAAGTTAACAAATTTTGAAATTTTTTGCATGATTAGTGTACTTAACCCATAAATCTAACATTAAAAAAATTAGCCTTTAACTCTAATCTAAACGGAATTTAATTACTTTTAACGCTTCATACCCATTTTTTAACTCCTCCTAAACGGCACCTAAGTAATTAGCGATCAATAATATCCACATTAAGGCTCATTAATTATGACAAAATCATGAGAAGCAATCAATTTTTATTAGAAAAACTAGCTGTTGCCAGTGTATTGCACACATTACACGAGTTAGTATTAAAATGTTGTTGTATGCCATGATAATATATTATGATTCGACAAACGCCTGCAAGATGAATACCAACTAAGATCAATTTTTTTATTGATAAACTTAAAAATATCAAAAGCGTTACTATAATTTTTTTTTCAAAATAAACATCTCAATAAAGAAACAACAAATCAGAGACAGTATAATAGCATGACACCTAAAATACATGGACAATATCTATTTTCAAAGGAGATGGTTTACATTATTATTATTCATAAACCCAAATAACTTCACCTCGTGGTCGCGTGCTCCTCACTATTAATGTAAGTTTCTACTATTAACGAAGTCTATATTTTTCTGAAAAAAAAAATCAACAACACCCTCACTAAACTCCCATTAATTACAACTAATCGTGATAAATGATTAATAAATTACACGAAAAATAAAAAGAGTAACAGAAATATCCTCAGCCTAACGCCAAGCAGATGCCACCGTGAGCACCCGACCCATCCAACCAAACCCAACGCGACCCGCATCTTCCTCGAGCGTAAAACCCGGGTTAGCTTTCATCGAACCGAACCGGACCTTGACCGCTTCGACCGCATCCGATCCAAATTGAACCGGCCTAAACCCGGCCATACTCATCCTCGCCCTCCACTTGCCGAAAACCTCAGCCCTCTCGACCCTATCCGCTCCTTCACACGCAATCGAGTTGCTAGCCTTTCGACCGAGCGCGCACTCGATCCTGAACCGGCTCCGGTCCTCCCGGCTCATCACGGCGTCGAGCGAATCGAGAACCGAACCGTAGTAATTACAGGCTTCACCGAACCGGGTCGCAAATGGCGCGGTGTTAGCATTCATCTCTTGCTCGACGAGCGTGACAATGATGGCTCGAGGGACTTCACCCGCCGGGCAAATTGTCACGTGGGTTGCCGCGCGGAAACGCTCTTCAGCGGGATCCTCGACAGGATGAACGACAAATCACCGCTAGGCACTCGTCGGGCTCCCGCAGCGACGCCCGCGCCGAGCTCCGATGCCCTCCGGTTTAAAACGTTGAACGCGCGGACGGACCACGCCGACGCGTTCGCTAGGGTGACGATCTTGTTGCCGATAACCTTTAGGTTGTTTGAACACTCCTCGGCGTATTGTCGCCCAAGAGTCGGGTCGCAAACGGCCGTTCTATGCTCACTAACGGCGTGAGCAAACGGTGGCGGATTTCGCTCGGCGACCGGCGTTAAATAGCGAAGCCGTATTGACCCCCTTGCTCCAAATCGAAGTCGCGATGTGATCTTTCGATATCCTTCGCCGCTCGAGAATCTCGAAGTTGGCCGCTACGTGGCGAGGTTGTGAAGATGGGGGAAGCGTCGTAGAGCATCTGAATCCCTGTTTTGGGTTGCTCTAGACTGCAGAGCTCCGACGCCGGCGAGGTTAGGGTCGCGACGGGCGACGAGTTATCGCGCGCGATTAGGGCGAGATCATCATTGAAGCCAGCCTTTTGGTCTGGGTCGCCGCGGGGTTTCCCGCGCGTTTTTAGGCGGCGAGATTCGCGCGGCGACCTCCGAGGTTGCTCTCGCAAGATCGCCGTCGCGGTTTCTAGAAGCAGTTGCTTGATGAGGCGGAGAGTTCGGAGAGCAAGAAGCGGAGGTTGAAGACGAGGATGACGTCGTCGGCGGACGGAGACGGCGCGAGAGGACGTCACTCCACTCGCTGGTGACGGCGGATGCCGGCGGGCGCTGACGTCGTCGTCGTCGTCGAAAAGGAGCTGCCTTTCTAGATCCCGAAGCTGGCTCTTGATCGAAGAAGATGATGGAGGCGCAAAGGAGCAGTCTTTAGGGTTTTCCTGGCGGTCTCTGAGGAAGTCGAAGTGATTCCCGATGAGGCCGACGACGACGACGGAGAATTGAGAATCTCGCGTCCGCCGCTTCACCGATCGAGAAAGAGCGCGTGCTGAATCTGCTGCTGGCCCGCTCGAGCTCCGTCAGAGATCGCTTCAGGAGACCACCGCCGTCAGATCCGCCGCCGTAACCGAAGAAACCGGTAGCCATTTGAAATCAAACCTTTTCAGTTCCTCACGAAATTAAAAATTCGATCTTTTTCTCTTCTGGTAGCCTCTCAATTTTCGATGGGGGGAATTTCTCTTCTCAACAAAGGTAATAACCTCTTTTCCTCAACCTTTTCTCTATTTATATAGATTATGTTATTATTATTATATTGCAAACAAAATAATGATATAATAATGAAGATGAATGTTTCTTTACTTGTTTTACCGGGATTCGTGCGCGCACTTCGCCCAGGGGGTGCTTGCTGCCTTAACGGTGACCGGTAAAAATTTACCGACATGTCGTCTGGGATATCGTCAGCTGGTTTTTGAAGTTTAGCCAGGCCAGCGCCACTCAAAGCCAGTCGCCTTCTGGTATTGGTACAAAGACGGAATTGCCCTTGAGCAGCAACAGATTATGTATAGAATTAAGGTTTTCAATATGAGTCCCTACATCTTCATATTTTTAAAAAGACGCCACTGTCTTTCAGTTGCTATCCAGTCCAGTCAGCGTCGATACATACTTGTATTCGGGATGAGCTTAATAAGAGCAGGAGAGTTGGTGATAATTAGAAGGGGAAATTATTTAATCATGAAAATGCCTATCAGTACTGTATCAAACAGACAAAAATAAATAATAAAATCTTTAAAAAAAATTATTACCATTGATGTAATTTTTTCGCTTTGACCGCTATGTTTTTTATGGGAAAAATAAAGAGATTGAGGTCTAAGAGAACAAGAGAAATTGGGAAAGTGAGGGCGGGAAG